GCACCACCAACATGTGGCTATTTGTTAAAAGAAAAAAATCTCAAATATGATCGAAATTTTAGTAAATATATCGTTTGGTAAACAAATTAACGGAAGTTCATGTGTTCATTTTCTCATATAACAGTGTATTAATCAAGCAAAATATTTTCCCCCCAAAAAATCAATTGTTTCTGGAATTTTTTTAGATCTAACCAAAAGAAGTGGGAAAATTTGTAAAAGTTGAGTACAAATGTCATAAAGTAAACAAAGAAACAAAAACAAATTAAGTAGTTTGTGTATGTGCAGGGATTTTATTTCCAGCTTATAATACTTATTTCCAACGTTGAATTTTTTTCTTGTTTCTCTTCCTCGTGATACTGCATATCAGAACAGCATATCAGTAAAGCAAAATGTTTTCCATTTTAAAAACAAAAAGGGACATTTATTTTTCCCTTTTTTCAGATCTAGAAGGATACTTACTGTCCTTTTTTTCAGATCTAGAAGGATACTTACTGTCCTTTTTCAGATCTAGAAGGATACTTTACTTACTGTCCTTTCTCAGATCTAGAAGGATACTCACTGTCCTTTTTCAGATCTAGAAAGACATTTATTGGTCCTTTTTCAGACCTAGCCAAGAAATAAAAATGGCAGTTTCTAAGAGAATTATACTGCAGACTGAAAAAAAATTTCATACAAATAAAATAATGTTGCCTCTTGTACTGTTCAGTACAATTCTGGTAATTAAATCATGCAGACATAATCATCTGTTCATATGACACAATGAGTATATAGTACATAGTTCAGTGGAAACATTACCCATGAATATACAACACTTTTATAATTGTAATGTCCTCAATTTTGGCATTGTGGTTTTATCTACACTTATTCATATGTAACAGGCAATCAATCACCTATGGCAATTCAGTAACAATCATGAACTGAAAACATTTTTTACAAATACTCAAAGGCTCAATGAGGATCTGCATTAGTATTATCTCTAAAACTATCACTGATCACTCTGCCAGGTTTAGTCAGATCTATGATGACCCAGTGGCCTATGAACAGTTACAAATCAAGGAGACAGCAGCGTCGATGGACAAGTAATGAGTGTGACACTCATCTGAAACTCAACAGAGGACAAATCAAAAGCCAAGTTATGTTCAGCTGGGTGCACTAAAACAGGCACTGAAATGGGAAACAAATGTACTGAGGAAAGGAGGATGCCCAACTGAACCCCAAAAAATAAGGTGAATGAACAACACTGATGGGAGTGATGGAACAACACTGATGGGAGTGATGGAACAACACTGATGGGAGTGATGGAACAACACTGATGGGAGTGATGGAACAACACTGATGGGAGTGATGGAACAACACTGATGGGAGTGATGAAACAACACTGAAGTGGTGGAACACTGATGGGAGTGGTGGAACAACACTGATGGGAGTGGTGGAACAACACTGATGGGAGTGGTGGAACAACACTGATGGGAGTGATGGAACAACACTGATGGGAGTGATGGAACAACACTGATGGGAGTGGTGGAACAACACTGATGGGAGTGGTGGAACAACACTGATGGGAGTGGTGGAACAACACTGATGGGAGTGGTGGAACAACACTGATAGAAGTGGGGGGAAAATGCACACAGGATAAAACAGAATGATGATGTCTTTGAGTCTCAGACACTTTGACAGATATTTTCATATGTTGATTAAAACTCAAGTAATGAAGGTCAGAAGAATTCCTAGTATGCTAAATATAGGGCTGAATAGTACTTGTCTGAAGCAAGTTAAAGAACTTAAATATCTAGGTAATACTTTTTCGGAGGACAACAGGAGAACAGATCAGTGAATAGAAACAAGATGCCAATGAGCCAGTACACTTATGTACCAACTGACACCGTTATTATTACATCTTAACATATGTATGGGCACCAAGAAACAGATTCTAAACAACATATTCATTTCAACACGGATACCAGTGTCAAGCTTGAACATTTCAAAAGGCTAACCCACCTAAAATTAACATGATGACCTTCAGCGAAGAGTCATAATGCAGTGGATACCGTCTCATTGTAGAGTGCCTGAAAATGAGAAAGCTGATCAAATGGCAGGGGAAGGTGCGACAAAAGAGCAGCCGGATGTACCAGTCACATACCACCAAAAGAAAAGAATCATTAAATCGATCAGGAAACCACCAGCCCCAGCACAAGATGACTATTTTATTATGGACAGACCAGAACAAGTCATTATCCTCTGCCTCAGAACAGAGCACAACCGATTACGTAACCACATGTACATAAAATTCAAGGTAGGTGTATCAGCCATGTGCACCTGTGGAAATGTGCCCCAGACAGCAGAGCATGTACTCCAGGACTGCACCGATTTTGACACATTAAGGCAAACCTTTTGGCCAGAAAGAACAACAGTGGAACGTAAACTCTATGGACCACTGAATGAACTAACAACGACAGTGAAATTTATTCAAGAGACAAAACTGCTGATATAGACAACTTATTTCAGGCGAACGAAAGAAGAAGAAGACAATCAGCCATGTTAAAAAAATGTGATAGATCTGCTGGAGAAAAAAAAAGGTTTTCTTCTTTACAACATCTACTGGCAAATACTCCAACATAAAACCACATTTGATTGCCAGACTCAAGACACCTTATGTACAGTAAAAACACAACTAACGACACCTTATGTACAGTAAAACCACAAAACTTTACTTTTAAGTACTATGTTTTCATGAAAATAAGATCAGGTCTTTTTTTTTTTTTTTTATTTTTGCTACAAAAGAAACCCTAGGGCTTATATTCAGGAGATGTTTTATTTTTCTATGTCCAAACTCTACATTTACATTATCATTTATTTTATAAGCATTAATGACAATATATATTTATATTTATTTACACATTCATTAAAATATAATTTAATACATCCGTTCATGTGTTTCAACGAACGATCTTAACTGAGGCGCTTAACTGGGAAAACATTTATATTATGACTATTTGAAACACTCATGCTAGTGCTCATTTTTGTGTCGGATTTTATCTCAGCGAAAAAATTCAATATATTCTCTTGAAGGTCATGAGGATTTGATATATGATTTCTGAGTTTTCACTGACTGCTAATGACTTAAATGCTTTCAAAGTTTTAAAAAATTGTATTCCTGTTAACAGAAATAAAATATGTAAAAAATGTAAACTCGAGAAAAGAAAACAAAATGTTTAGTAAAACTTATTACATAAGGAAAGTTTGGGAATAACTGCCCCAAATACTGGTCTACTGGATCAGTTAAGGAAAAGAATGACAACAGAATCTGAGATCTGGTGTTACCGAACAGCAAAAGTGAACGTGAAAAAAACTGATAAATGAACAAGTTGTGGAAAATACCAGATAAACAATTTTTAGTACTATTGATTGTAGAAAATACTACAGAACAAATCATTCTCAGAGCAATTTATTGTGGAAAACATTACAGAACAAACAAACCTTAGAGCCATTTATTGTGGAAAATAAAAGTTTGTAAATAAATAAGCCAGATCTATGAAACGTATGTGCATGCAGCACTCAGATTCTGGAACAAGACTGAAGTCTGGAGGTGGAAGATCAAGAGCTTTCAGCTGGAGTTTATAGCCAGTAAATGCAAAGAAGAAGCAGAAGGAAGAGAAAGAGGAGGAGAAGAAGAAAAGGAGGAGGAAGAAGAGGAGGAGGAAAAAGAGGAGGAGGAAGAAGAAGAGGGAATGGAAGAAGAAGAGGAGGAGGAGGAAGAGAAGAAAAAGAAGTACATATGCTGCTGCACCAGGATCAGAGTTCATACTGTTCCAACTGGTCCAGACCCATATAAACCTTTCTGCAGTCATCATCATTATTATACATTCCTTAATGGAGACCTGGCCAATGTAGATAGGATTAATGTTTCCCTCTAAACTAGAGCGCATCTGCCTGAGAGACAAGGACCATAAGTGTGCATACCAAAAAAAAAATAGATCAGATCTGTAAAACTGATGCACATGCAACACTCAAGTCCTGGAACAAGACTGAAGTTCAGAAGTGGGTGACCAACCAGGATTTTCCGCCGCAGTTTACAGCAGGTGAACAAGAAGAAGAAACACTTGCTGATGATGCACAACACACAGTGACCCAAAAGAAAATGTTATATTTTCAAAACAACCTACTGACCTTATTAAATCATTATTACAAACACAACATCCATTTTGTATTTTCAAGCATTTTCTTTTCAACCCCCCCCCCCCCCCCCCTCTTCTTTTCACCAATCTCTTAGCCAGTTTTTGTTTTAAGACAAGAGTGGGAAACCTCCAGTCCATGGGTCAAATATAACCCGAGAAATAAGCATTTGGCCTGGTCAAGGCAATGACGACTGAATGTCCGACTAAAACCAGCAGGCTAATAGTCAAGTTGATCACTTTGCAGAGCATCTGAATGTTACAAATATCTAAAAGACTCCATGCAGGACCAAATTGTCCCCATCCCTGTTTTAAAGCAATGATAACTGCTGTCAAAACTCCTAACCACTACAGTCCTAACAATGCATTTAAAAGAATTTCATTTGAGAACAGATTAGCAAGAAACAGTGACACTTGCAATAATTAGTGACAACGCCTGTTGTTCAGTGCACCAGCTTGAGCAGAGGCAACCCAGATCAGCTGACTGTTCCATGGTCCATTTCCAACCAGGCCACAATCTTTCCTTCCCAGCCAGGCAAGATGTCATCATCATTTGACAGCTGAAATAACGCAATCAGTATGACTATCTTGTAAAGTAGCATATGTAATGGTTATCTTTAAAGAAGCACATCTTAATGATTACCTTGTAAAGCAGTACCTCTTGTGACTAGTTTGTAAAGTAGCAGGTATTATGATTAGCTTCTAAAGTAGCACTCTTACTATTATCTTGCAAAGTAGAACATCTTATAATTACTTAATAAAACAGCTCATCCTACAATTATTTTGTAAAGCAGTACATCTGACAATTGTTTTGTTAAGTAGAAAAACCTTACAATTATTTTGTAAAGTCGCACATTGTATGACAATTTTGTAAAGTAGTACATCTGACTTTTTTTGGGGGGTAAAATAGCAAATCTTACGATTATCTTGTATCTTGTAAAATAGCATATCTAACATTAATTGTTAATAAAGCATATTCAACCTCAATTGACAATAACACTTTGTTGCAAGAATGCCCAACTCATTCAGACCACAGAAAGCAATGCTTGGCTCTAATCTGTTGCACTGCAGAGCTTAACTTCTGGCAGTACTGACTGAAGGATAACGATTTGTTTTCCCTCTCCAATGACAGGGATGTATTATGATTAACTTTCTCTGTATTATAAAATGCAGATTTTGTCATTGCAACAAGACTCGAATCCTCGTTACAATTCCAACTTCACACCTTAGATGCTCCAAAAACCACACAGAAAGCCCATCACTGTCCAAATAAAAACCACACAGAAAGCCCATCACTGTCCCAATAAAACCCACATAGGAAACCCATCACTGTCCCAACAAAAACCACATAGAAAGCCCATCACAGTCCCAACAAAAACCACATAGAAAGCCCATCACAGTCCTAACAAAAACCACATAGAAAGCCCATCACTGCCCCAACAAAAACCACACAGAAAACCCATCAGTATCCCAACAAAAACCACACAGAAAACCCTTCAGTGTCCCAACAAAAACCACACAGAAAACCCATCAGTGTCCCAACAAAAACCACACAGAAAACCCATCAGTGTCCCAACAAAAACCACACATGTAATGTGTAATAAAGGCTCTTGAGTAATTGTGAAGCCAACTGGTTCTACACGACATCAGGTCTGATATCTTGTCACGATATCCAAACAGACTTTGTCCTTGGATGTAGCAACCAGGTACCTCTACAGGCCACTCCCAGATGAAGTTTGCTGTAATCTTCAATATTCACTCATCTCCCCCCCCCCCCCCCCCCCTTTTTTTCTTTAAAAAAAAATAAAGACCAAACACCTCGGTTGTGGATAAACAGGTGTCTCTCCTCCTGGCAAATGCCTCCAAGATACAGAATATATTATATGGATAAACAGGTCTCTCCCCTTTTGGCATATATATGTATATACATACATACACACACACACAGGATTATCGAGAATGATTGCCAGGATTTTAAAATATTTTAAAAGTAGTTTTAATGGATATATACATGTGGTGTCTCAAAATGTTTAGATAATTTTATAGTTTTATGTGACCTTGTGTGACGGCAGGGGCTTGAAATGGTGCTGAGAAGATAAAAGAGTACCCAGCACCATAAAAAAATGATCACTGCAGCTGCAAGTCTGAACATGATTCAAAGACATGTGAAGGAGACTGAATACCGTCTAGACATCATGAGAGCTATAAATGAGTCCACTGGGTAAGTCTAAAAACTTTAAACTTTTCTGAACATCATGACAACTGTAGAAGACGTAGGCTGAAATGCATGGTGCTGAATGGTGTAATATGGCGGCATGGAAAAGTATCATCAATAGCATTATTCAGAACAAGGAAGAAGATCTGAAGAGACAAATGCTATGGAATTTGAGGTTCAAGGTTTTAACAACGGATCAACATCATGGCACATGGGTAGAAACCCTAAGTGCTCCATTCTCGTAACTCAAGTACGAGTTTAAAGAAGCTCAGCACAGTGCACAGGTTCTGTAGCACCGGCGAAAATCCTGAAATACTTTAGGTACATTTTTTAAAACTCAAAACTTTTGCCTGGGCAGCACCGTTAGGCCACAACGATTTCCAGCGGCCAAGGGATGCATACGGGCATCCAATCTCACTACCCAGAGACCTGTGGGAATTACTAGAAGTCCAAGACCACATGAAAAACTCCCAGCCCTTAACAGGGATTGAACCCGGAACCTCTACCACTCGAGGTGGACACCAGGCCTTGAGACCATGCAGTTCCCCCCCACCCCCCCCCCCCCCCCCATGACATCTGACAAAGCAGATGGTGTCTGGTACTGTTTTATTTTAGAAACAAATGGTATAACTCACTATCTCTCAATAGCAATCACTGCTGGCTTTACCCTCCTGATTCCTAACAACATTATTTCTGAATATGTCTCATCCTGTCATATTAGTATTTCTCAGAGGTACTTTGTGTCTGTTGCAATTCTGCTGTCATCTCCTACTGTCCATGTTATTCCTGTCACTACCCAATTCATGCATAGTTATGTTACTACCTAGTGCCAACATGCATTATCCTGTCACTGTCTAGTCCTGTCACTGTCTAGTCCTGTCACTGCTTACTCCAAGTACTGAATGGTCCTGTCACTGTCTAGTTCTGTCACTGCTTATTCCTGTCACTGCCTAGTCCTATCAGTGTCTAGTTCTTTCACTAGTTAACCCTGTTGTTGTGTGCAATCCGAAGATCCACACTACGGACAACCGATAATGAACATAGGGTATGACGAGAGACACGACGTCACTTGCCGACAGGAATTTATTTCCAGACAGATGACGGTTGCAAGAAGTTGATGCTGCTGTTTGCGGGGAGCTGAGGCTCATTGCTCCGGATTGGAGGAACCGTCGTTTAATATAGTGACTGTACTATATGCCTTTCATTGACACCATTTATATCTGTGAGGAATTGCTTAATAAAATTCTTGTATTTGCCTGCCAACGACGTGTTTCTGGAATGTAGCAGTTTTCAAGGGTTGACTTCGTTACGGCGTTTTTCTGCCAGTGGTTGGTTAGTTGACAGTTGTACCCCTAGAATAATCGTTTACTTGGTAGCCCGTAACACCAGATAATCCTGAGGAGGAGTCCTACTTGCCTATTGTGCTACCTTCCTTGATACCTAAGGAATCCTGGAGGGATGTGGAGATCTCAAGCTCCATGCCTCAGGAATATGCAGGTCGTGTTAGAAAACTTCTTGCATCGTTTTCTACCATTTTCACGGACATTCCGGGAAGGACATCGCAGGCTGTTCACACAATCAAGCTAGTGGATGATCGACCTCTCAAATTACGACCATACAATTTGCTATTACACTATGAGAGTTTAGTGGAAAAAGAATTGAGAGAAATGTTGCGTTTGGGTATTATTGAGCCATCTACCTCACCCTATTCTTTCCCTATGGTAATAGTAAGGAAGAAGGATGGAACCATCCGTATATGTATAGACTACCGCAAGCTTAATCGCATTACTGTGATAGATGCAGAGAATATGCCAAACATAGACGATATGTTCCATAGGTTGGCAACAGCAAGGTTCTTCACTAAACTAGATTTGTCAAAAGGGTATTGGCAGATCCCGCTGGCGGAGGAGTCCAAACAATTCACGGCTTTTCAGTCCCCTCTAGGTTTATTACAGTTTAAATATATGAGTTTCGGTCTGACCAATGGTCCGGCCACCTTCACTCGCCTAGTTAAGAAACTGGCTGTCGGTCGTTCTGACTTGATTTATTATTTGGATGACCTTCTACTATTCCATGACAATTTGAATGACCATCTTGCTTCTTTAAAATCTCTTCTTGACAAAATCAGAGAGTTTGGGTAAACGATTAGTCCTTCTAAGGTACAAGTAGCCTTTCAAAAGCTTACTTTTTTGGGCCATGTAGTTGGTGACGGTATTCTTCAACCGGAAGACCACAATGTGGCGAAAATTCTGAACATTCCAACGCCAAAAACTAAGAAAGATGTTAGAGCGCTGCTAGGTCTGTGCAATTTCTATTCGAAATCCATTCCTCATTATTCGTCGGTTACGTCTGTCTTGTCGGAACTGACACGGAAGACGATGCCTCGTTTTGTATACTGGGACCAGGCGTGTGCTAAGGCACTGGACCACATACAAAAGGCATTTAAACAGCATCCATTTTTAAGACTACCGAATCTATCAATGGATTTCTATTTGTCCACAGATGCGTCGAACATGGGGATAGCCGCAGTATTGAGCCAGAGATATGATGGGCAGTTACTACCTTGCCTGTTTGCGAGCAGGAAGCTGACACCAACCGAGACACGTTATAGTGTGTCAGAGAGGGAGGCCCTCGGCGTGTACTGGTCCATTTCCAGATTCAGCAAATATTTGATGGGCCAGCACTTTTACATTCTAACCGACCATCAGGCTCTAACTGCAATGAATACGAGTCATGACACTGACTTATTCTGTCAGTTTAGTCCTGTCACTGCCTAATTATGGCAGTCTAGTCCTGTCACTGCCTTATTCTGTCAGTCTAGTCCTGTCATTGCCTTATTCTGTCAGTCTAGTCCTGTCACTGCCTTGTTCTGGCAGTCTAGTCCTGTCACTGCCTAATTCTGTCAGTCTAGTTCTATCACTGTTTAATTCAGTCACCAGCCAGCTCCTGCATCAATCATTTTAGTAGTTCCTTCCTCTCATCTGTTGCTATCAAGACAGGGCCATAAAATAATGTAAAATGCCTCTTCTTTATATTCACCGGCTGTAAACTCCGGTGGAAAGTTCTGGCTGTTCCTCCATATCCGGACTTTAGTTTGGTTTCAGTACTTGAGTTTTATGTGTACATTCATTTTATAGATCTGGTTTAAGTGTATGCAGACTGTTATCCATTTTACAGAACGGGTTCATCTTTAAGCAGATTGCTGGTTCCTCACCTCTCAGGCAGATGCACTCCAACTTCAAAGGACACATGCCTTATTAGCCAACTTTTATGATATGCTTGTTGAGGAAGCAGTGGGTCTTCTATTTGCTTGCCTCCCCCAGTGAGCCACAAAACCAACACAGGGAATGTAAACTGTAAATATCACATTAACCAAGAGGCATATTTGCTGCAAGATCTCTCATCTAGCTTAATGCATTATCACAGGAAATTAGTAGACAGTGCATAAGCCAAAAAAAATATACTTAGCTTTTTCACCCTGAGAAGCCTAACTCTAGTCACTTCCAGTTGTGACACATCCCCATAAATGTGAATATATGACCTTACCTGGAGTGACCTGTTTTTTCAAAAAGCTTTGTAAAATTCCACTGGTCCGATGTACACCTGTGCGGTTTTTAATAGGCCAGAAAATGAATACATTAACTAAAACTATCATTTTAGATGTTTTTTTGTGTGACTACAATGGCCTTGTGAAAAGTAAGCTAACATCTGTAAGCCTCAGTGATAGAGGTCACGGCATAAGCAACCCCATATTTTTTAGTGTATTTTTTATGCACCTAAAAATGTGTTCCATTGAATCCTTTACTCTGTTCGTATTTATTGATTACCCCTTTACAAATCTGAATATATTTTGAATTTCAAAAAACTAGATAAATTCTAAAAAGATTTATTTGTTCGCTTGAAAAAGATTTTATCTATATCTGCAATGTTGTCTCTAGTATGAACTTCACTGTCTTGTAATTCGCTCAGTGACCCGTAAAGTTTGACTTGCACTGATTTTCTAGTTAACTATTTAATGTATTTTTGTTTTGTTTTTTAAAGAGGATTTTTCTCCCAGCATTCACAGGGTGAAAGGTTTAGCTTGTAGTTCTTACAGAGAAATGATTTTCTGAATGAGAGAACAATCTAGAACTTACTTCTTGTGTATCACACATGCCAAATGTGTAACAGCATCTCCAATGTAATACATCACAATGGTCTCATTATGTGCAACAGGAGGCTGCATTCTGATTCTACTTCCTGTATGTTATAAAGTTTTATGAATTGACAAACAACATAAATAATACAAACATTTAGGATGAAAAGCAAGGTATCTCACAAAATTTAATAAACTGATCTTCTGCATCATTTTGAGGCCTTAAGGTCCACTGCTGCAGATTCCACCACCTCCATTCATCTTTCTGGTTGGCCTTCTCTTTCCAGTCCCTATAGTGTGCCTGTCAGACAGGACCACAAACACATGAGCACATTCTGCAGACCAGCCCACTATGCCTACAACTTCTAAAAGAAACCTGCCATAAAGAGCAAAGTGTGCAGAGCAAGCTATGGGAAACCATGAAGGACCTGCATTCAAGTTCATAGAGGCAACCTACCTGATGGTCTCACCTGAGCATACAAAACCCAATACAGAGAAGAAGAAAGAATGCTGAATTAGGAACTGACATCAAAGACTTCTGGACATTCCCATAAGCACTCTGTCCCCATCTTCAGTAGGAAGTGCAGAGTTTTAACTCCAATGGTGCCAGTAACAATCTGATTTTATAGCAATAGCGCTTTAAGTTTTCAGTGCTGTCCAGATCCTCTGGTCAACGCTCAGTAACAACCCAAACACCCCCCCCCCCACCAACAAAAACAATATGGCAACCTTATACAACATGGTTTGTTGGTGATGGTTGTGGGGGGAGGGGGGAGTGAAACTATACCCCCACCACCACAAGGGGCTTGGAATCCACAGAGAGAGAGACAACTGACCTTGAGGTGTCAAAGCATGGTGCTGCCCTTGTGTGGAATGATATGCTTGGGCCCTGGCAATCACATGTGTGCCTGGCGCAGCTCGAGGAGAAACATCACGGTCTGTATACGGACTTCGCTGAAATAAGTCACACACACACACAGAAAAAGGGAAAAGTCAGATGATGACAACAGAGACACTATAAATTTTTCATTATCATCAACATTATCTTACAGCGGGCCCTTTGCAGTAAGTAAAGTAAAGTAAAGATCCCTTTTCACGCCTTTCGGCGCATAGGGCATATGGGCAGAGCGTCCCATATTTTTACAGACCATCAGCACTCTGTGGGTAATGTGGTCAGCATTACGCCGGCTGTCTTTACTTTCCCAAAGCCCATCCTGGTACCCGGCTTTGCAGTAGGTCATCTTTTTTATCATGTAAAATTAAAGGATCTTGTTTTATGACTTTATAGAGTGGGCATAGACTGGGCATACAGTGCTAGACCTATATTTTATAGACCAAACAGCCCTCAGCAGGTGAGGTGTTCAACCTCAGGCCGGGCACTTTTACTTCCCAGAACACTACTTGGTGCCCATTTGAGGCTGGGTCGACCTGGGAGACAAAGCTTATTTTTGTTTTAAAGTCCGGCCCTGTTTAGATTTGAACCCAGATATTCAGATCCGCAGGCAAGCCTCTATCACTACACCACAACGGGTTCAGTCTGTCATGTAGCCTGCCAAGAAAAACTGTTGGGCCCCTCGTTAGTTATTCTACCATATGTATTGTCATGCATAAAGTGCCTTGAACATCCTAAAACAATGTTTGGTCTAGCCGATCCTTGCCTTTTCTTCCCAAACTATGACTTCCATTATGCTTAGTGTTTGGTTTCAACTTCAGGACAATCGGGTTTCCCCATACTTGCTCCGCTTGTGTGCCAGAGACAGCCAAATAAAAATTTTTCCTCACTCTTCATTTGAGAAAAAAAACATTCCTGGAAAAATCCAGAAATATGTGCATGCAGTAAGAGGCACCAAGTCCAACAGTCGCCACCAGAACTGCAGTTTGTTTTTGATGGAAGTAGTCAGGCACAATAAGTTGGCTATTCATACGTAAAATTATTACATAAGGTATTTCCCCAGCTTACATGTAAACCAGCTAACAGCCATATTAAATACAATGACACACTCGCTGCACAAATGAAAGACAATCCATGTGAAAAACACAGCTCACAGGGCTGCACCAAGCACTAAACTCAGTATCTCAGGCAGCAAAACCGTGGACTACCATCCACATGTGGAAACTATTAGCAGAGCAGTATCGCAAGCAAAAATAACTGTAAAGCATAATATTGTGCCGTGCCTAATCAGTTTGCCAGAAAAAAAAAACAGATTTCCTACCAGTTCTCCTTTGCTGGAAATTCCCATAAGCATTTAGTACTCATCTTCAGCAGCCAGTAAAGAGCTGCAATACTGATAGTGCTAGTAGCAGTCTCAATATATGACCCTCTTGCCTCTCCTTTGAGTAAAGAGTGTTGCCCAGATCCCCTGGTCATTCCTAGCTGTATCATTCTCTGCAGACCACAATGATCTATTCATCCTCTGGATATTTCACTTGCTCTTAAAGGGCCTAAGGGCCTTGACCACATTTAGCGTGCCATGCATAACCAGCCAATTTGTCAGTCTGTTCTTTTCCCACAACTCCTGCATCGCTCGGAGAGAATATCAAAGAAAGCCTGAAGAGGTTATCTGATAAATGTATTTTTATGCCTGAAATATTCCAAACATTATATGCCCAGCTTCTGACTGGTGACCCTTACCTTTGCCTCCAGGAACATTTCCTGTCAGATGCTCTATCTCCCGCAGCAAATGACATATGGTGTAGATGCTAACCGTTCCTGATTATACACACGCCGATATCTTCCTCTCATTCATCCCTCCTTGCCAGATCCACACTTAATACCTTGTTCACACATTCTTGTCTATATTATTTCATCTAATCTTGTGTTTTCTATCAACCTTCGTTCTTATATGGTCTTCAAAATATCTCTCTTGTCCAGAACGAGCGTTCCGGTAGCTTTCAATTTTGTAGCTAGAAAATCTGCTCTTTCATTCCACTTTAGAGCTGCAGTGATTGCCTCCACTTCCATTCTCATGCTTGAAGTTGAAGACAAAAAAGCTCCATTTTGTTCTACCACAATTTTCCCCTTCATTCTATCTGAAAATCTCCAGCCAGATCTCGCACCCTGATAAACAGAACCATCGGTGTACACAACTGCATCATCTAGCCCAGCCTTTCCAACTATCAGTTGTTGTACCTCTAATTCTGCCATACCGTTAATTCTCTTCCTAACATGACAATAACCTGAAGGAAACTGCTGTTGTGGGTGTTCATGTCAATCCATTCCTGCCTCGTGTATTTGACTGAAGCTGCTGTCTTGATGGTATCTTCAGCTAGTGCCATCCATGACTTTCCTCTTTTCAACCAGTCTTTTCTTAAACCATTAAGATTACAATGCAGCAAATGCCTTTCATCTTTGGTAACTGGCATATAGGTCTTGGCTTGCGCCAGTGACAGTCTAGACTTTACTGATGTCAGCCCAAGCATATACCTCATTATTCTAATTGGGGTGTCCCGTGTGCAACCCAAGACAATTCTCATTCCTTCAATTTGAATCCTTTCAAGCTTTGTACACTGTGAAGTAGACAGGGTTAATATTCCTAGGCTATAATCGATGACAGAAAAGGACCAAATGGTTGGACAATAAGACCAATAATTTCAGTTCCATGTGTGTCGCCACCATCGTCTTCAGTGTCGCCAGGCCAGGCTTGAATTTAATCACAGGTTTGAAGGTCTGAACAACGGATCAACATATTGGCACACGGGTAGTAACCTATAGTTGCTGCGTTCTTCTTCTAACTCAATTCTGAGTCCGAAGAAGTTCAGCACAGTGCACAGGGACTGTAGCATCGATGAGGATCCTGAAATACTTTAAGTATTTCCTGTAGCTTTTTAACTCCAGTTTTTGCTCGGGCAGTGCCGTTACGCTACTTTTTTCGATTTCCAACTGCCAAAAGATTTTTTACGTGCGCAACAATGCACACAGGCGTCCGATTTCACTACCCAGAGACAGGAGATATTACTAGAAGTCCAAGCCCACATAATAAAATGCAAGCCCTTACCAGGAATTGAACCCGGAACCACTAGCACTCGAAGCCGACACCATGCCTTCAGACAACGCACCCCCTGCATTTGATCAGTTTGCTGCAAACCAAAATGCAACAGCACCACCAACCTTTTAAAGAAGAAAAAGAGGAATAAACCCGATATTTTACAGCATACAAGAACTATTACCAGATTGCTCCTCGCAGAAGAGAAGGATCCAGTGGAACAGCTGCTTAATGAATCCTTGGTCTGAATGTTCCGAGAAACATCTTTGACGACTGGGTTGCCATAGTGCTGCTGCAAGCGCTCCTGCAGAACATCAAAGGGAAATGGCAGAATTTTACAAATGTTTGACGATTAAGTACACCTTCTCCTCGACTTACAGGACTTACAACCACCTACCACACTTACTTATGGTAAAAAGATAAAAATAAATAAAAATAGTAAATAAAGAAAGATCACTGGTAAATTCAAAGTTCCAGGAACTGATACAACAGAGTATGTGTGTGTGCATGTGTGTATATATATTGTTCACACTCTGTACAATAATTATGCATACACAGGCTGAACTCTAGTGTTTATGTAGTGTTTAATAATGGGTTTGAATGAGAAAAGTGTTGACAAATAATTCGTCTCATGACCAGTTTGACTTTCGGCCTGCCAGTCAGAGCGGAGCATGGCTGTGAGCTGAGGAGATCCTGTATTTTTAAGTGGAAAAGAAATAAAGCAAGGGGAAAAAAATATTGTCTCTATCCTTAATCAGCATCACAAATCAGCCAACAACTTTTTTTTCTGTTGTATTTGCCATCAATCAATGTGCTCCAATATTTTGTCAAGACTGTGGTCCATTACTGATTTGAAAACGCCTTTCTCCATTGTTTGCCTTCCTGAATTCTTTCTGTCCCAAATGAGGCACCATGTGTGACTGGATTTACTCATCTGCACCAGTGAAAACATTATTATTGCTGGACTACTACGCAAGCATGAGCAGGGAGATAACTGCTGCTCCAGAGAACTAAAAAAAATAATTTTGTAATCATTTTTTTAGGCTCACTTGTCAGCCCAGTCTATGAGGGGTACTGAGAAACATCCTGGAAGTAAAGGTGGCCAGTATGATGATGACCACATCAGTCAGCGAGTCAAGCACCATGCGCTTGAATGAATAAGGTCTTGTATTTTTGTGAATTTTTTTTAAAGCATTTTACTGATGGGTTGTGTGATCAGTTTTATGGCCAGATTTACTTTTGAGTGCATTTTACTTTACTCGTTTTAGACATGGTTGATCTAGTTGCCTGGGTCATTTATTAATAAAACTAGATTTGAACTAGAAACTACGATGCTGACCAGGCTAGCAACCGCACTACCATGGCTACCCAATTATGTTTTAAAAAAATGAGTGATTTACACAAACGCTTAAAAGGGTGTAATTTAACTCTAGACCTTTGGACCAGGCAGGCATCCAGCTGCTAGCAAAAGATTTTCAACATTCCTCTGTCCGTATTCCATAGTTGTGAATTTCAAGCAGCACAACAGACATGACCAATGAAGACACCTTTTTTAGGGGTGCCTAGTCATGTTCTTTATAAACTTGTTTCCACAGTGAAGCACACACGCCATTGGGAGGTTCATTTCCCGGCGCAGTAACTACAGCTTTATATTTTAATGTTGTCTAGTGTGTCATTCTATCTTTCTACTTCTTTCTATGAGTGCCGATCAATGCCTTCTCTATTTGTTTATTTTATGTACAATACTCTCCAAGGAAGGTGTGAAAAATAGGTCCTTAACTTGTAAAATTACAGCTGTACACAATACTTACATGGCTTGGGTGTTGACCAACAAAAGAAGGTCCTGCATCAGAACCATTAACATGCAGCTTGTCCAACAGCTGCACTATGGCATCTTCTAAACAGTCGACTGCTGAACTACTCTGATAAGCAGCTGCCAATCTCGACCGATTTTGCTGTATGGTGTCTTTGAATGTTTCAATGTCTGAGACCTGGACATAAACAGAAAAACAAGTTAACACAGAGATCATGTAGGTATTTCTAAGTTCTTGGTGAAAAGATGTTTAACTTGTAGAAGTTAATAAAGACATCTGCTAGTTCCCTGTGAAACAACGAACTGATGGAATATCTCAGGCTGTGAATTTTACCAAGTATTAAACATACCAGAGATTTCTTTTATTATCTCTTCTTAACCTGAGACAAATGGATAGAGAGGAGAAGTAATGCCGCTGCCTTATAGCTGTCTGAATTTTAAGGTGATCTATCCCCACCCCCACAGATGGTACACAAAGTGGTGGTTGAATTTTTTACTAAATTGATGAGAGCAATGTTAATACCTCACCATTGTCACATTGGAACTACTGATTCATAGATAATTTTTTGTTCAATAGTTTAAACAAAACCAATTACGAGGGCTATTCCAAAAACAACCTCCGACTGGCTGGTAAAGTTAAACCTTTTGCCACAGCAGCACTGTTCATTGCTTGCATCATTCAGTAGCCTTTTAGCTCACTATAAACCAACCTAGTCACATTTGTTTAGTGGTTCACGAACCGACGAATAAATAAACATGGACACTGTCATTTCCTGTCCTGCCAGCAGTGAAATTCAAATTCATGGTGTGATTCATTTTCTTCTAGCAGAAGGTCTACATGCTCACCTCTGACGTTCCGGCTGCTCCGACTCGTATATCTTGACTTCGCATTCACATAAGAAAGAAATCAGTATCTTTATGTTTGAGGTCTTCAGTATGTGCTGTCTTTTGCATATCCTGTCAATGCTAATAAAAACAAACAGTAGGAACCTGAACACTAACCTGAAGTCTTGAAGGCATCTTACTGCCTTCCATCCACCGGAGACACTCGGTCAGAGAAAGGATTCTTTTCTCAAGAGAACTAAGCTCTTTATCTTCTTGTTGCTAATGAATAAAGTGTGGTAGCATGTCTCATACAATGTCAGCTTAAAAGATACATAATCTCTAAAAATCTTAAAGAGTCAAGAGATCATGTTCTGGGGGTGAAGTCAAGCCAGGTACCTCATGCTCTGAAGGTCGTGGGTTCATTTCACGGAGTGTTTTTTTTTTTTTAATTTCATGAGTTCAATTTTTAATGGAGATCCCTAGGGATTGTTGCAGAAGCTACGAAGTTCATGCTTTGTGTTAGTCTCGGAAGGCGGCTAGCCAATCTGCGGAGAGAGGCCAAGCCATATACAGCAACCAAGTTCACAGAGGCCAATCCTGGCAACTCAACTTGAACTATCTGGTCTGTGCTCCTGCAATAACTCTTCTGATCAAGGTTGCTTAACAATAATGTACAAACTCCTTAATAATTGTGGATACCAACCTGGAAGCAATGTATGAGTTTAAAAAACTATAATTTAGTTTTACCATATTCAGGATTTTCTGGGGAAAAAAATATCTCTTAAGATACACTTTCTAAAGTCATTTAGGAAACGACAAGGTGTTACTACATGTCAGAGCTACGCCAGTGGTAGCACAGCTAATAATTTCAGATAGATCAAAGGATAAGGACAACTGAATGTAAGATGCACACCTGCTGCAGAGTTAAATGCCATGCAAAGTTGCTTCTCCCCCCCCCCCCACCCACCCCCAACAGGCACTTGCATTTGCAATAAACAACAATTAATCGTACAATTCTCCCAGCTGGCATGATGTATTGTGGTTTACAGCTAATCTGCAATATATGCACCATTTGGTCCAACATATCCTGCTACTGGGATTCAGCAAACACCTGAATAGTCACCTTTTATGACATTCTTGTCAGGGGGGAGTGGGTCTGTGCCCCCCCCCCCACCATAATGGGGCCTCCTTGCAATGAAATTCACTTTAATATGTCACTTTTGTGTTCCTGAGGTCTAGTCAAATGTTCTCTGTTCACAATATTCTTACAATAAGTTGACTTCCCTAAGACAAGTTAGTTAGCTAGTAAGTCAGTAAATCCAAAGATTATCCTCAATGCACATCGGACAAATCCATAAGGGTTCAGATCCCATCTTCAGTATATTCTTCAGCCGTGTGGTGACTGATTAACACTGATTTTGTTTCGGCTTACTATTCTTCTTTGGCTACCTGTATAGTGTTCATGTTTGGTGACACCTTTTGACCTGAAGTTCTTGTATTTTGAGTGTTGCAGATTTAACGTTATCTCCCTGAGAGCAGTGAGAATGTCGGCCAGGTAAACTGCTTTTCCTGTACCTACCACACTACATTTCCCTAAGACAAATGATGACAGAGGCCAAAGTTGCTGGAGTGGGTATCAACAAGAATCATTACTGATTTAAGAATCAACATCATAGCACACCGGGCATACCCACAGATGCTCCGTCTCCCGCAGCAAATGAACATACCCTTAGATGCCCCATTTCTCGCAGCAAATTTCTTACAAAGTGTGAATGCTGACTGTTCCCGTAGCACACTAATTATACACATGTAGTTCTATTTCTCTCATCCGTCCCTTCTTGCCGGATCCACACTTAATTCCTCATTCACACATTCTTGCACATGTTATTTCATCTAATCTTGTGTCTTCAATCAACATTCGTTCATATATGGTCTTCAGAATATCTCTCTTGTCCAGTACCAGTGTTCCCGTAGCTTTCACTTTTGTAGCCAGAAAATCCGCTTTATTTCCCTCATACTCCTGCATTTCCCAAATAGTAAATCCATGTGAATCCCTGCAATGCTAGCGTACTGATGCATGGTATCTATTTGTCCATTCTGAACCTTCTGCAGTGCCGACTGAGAATCAGACCAAATAATTCCTCTGGTAAGTTTGTTTGCTGCTATCCCCTTCAGAGCCTCCAGTGAGAGCCTCCACTTCCATTCTTATGCTTGAATTTGTAGATAACAAAAAATCCCCAGACAGATCTTACACCCTGATGAACAGAACCATCAATGTACACTACTACATCATCTAGTCCAGCCTTTCCATCTATCAGTTACTGTACCTCTAATTCTGCCATTCATTTACACCACTCTCTACATTTTTTTCCTAACGTGATAACGACCATATGGACGCTGCTGTTGTGGGTGTTCCTGTCCATCCATTCCTGCCCTCAACAAGACTCCAATAGATAAAAACAAAATGAGCGCTGATCTAAGAAGTGACATCAGGGCACTCTGAATATTTCCAAAAGCGCCGCATCCTCATTTTCAGCAACCAGTAAAAAGTTAAAGAACTTTTTAGGTACACAACAAATCAAATGGTTTGGCCATGTAACAATACTGGCAACAGACAGCACCACAGAGAGCAATGTTATACAGATACAGTGGTAACAGAGCGAGATGACCACTCAGTACATGGGCTGCAGAAATATCAGACACTGAAAAGTACTTTATACGAAGCAAACAGAAGGGCTGGTTCCAGAGATCTCATCCTGCCCTGACTCTGCCAGGCATTCCAGAAGTAGAGAAAAGAAGAAGATGTGAAAAGTTCTCATTTCTAATAGAGGACGGGACTCCAAGCTTTATGCAACAGATAAATGGCGCAACAGATGATGATGAGGATGAATTATTTCACATAAAGAATATTGAGAAGACACTATAAAAGACTCACAAACAATTTAACAATTAAACAGACAATGTATAACACTCACTCTTGATCTGCTACTATTCACAACACTGATAGCCTCCCGTCTGATGTCGTTCACTTTTTTTGCTTCTCGGGGTTCAGACAGACATCGTGTTTGTTGTAATTCATTTATTTTACCTTCTCTGTTCAAGAGTTCCTTCTGAAACAATATTTGACACCATACAATACACAAACAAACTAGAATGTCTCATGGCAGTGGCTAGACACTCACCAGCAGGTCAAAAGGTCATGGGTTCGGGTCCTGACAGATGAACTTTTTTTCTCCAAAAATGACCTTGGCTCTCAGGCTGACACAACCAGGAGTGGGTAGCAGGTAAAAACCTGGGAAGTACAGGCGGCCTGTGTGATGCTGACCACATCAGCCACCAAGTTTCGACCGGTCTATAAAATACAGGTCTAACCCTACATGCCCAATATGCCTGAAAGTGTGGAAAAGGGTCCATTATTTAACAATATTTCATATTTGGTGGTCAGCAGAACAAATTTTAAAGGGCCCCCCTCCCACCTATCCCCCCCCTGCCCACCCCCACCTATCCCCCCTCCCCACCCCAACCTACCCCCCCTACCCCGAACAACACCTCAACTTTAGAATGCATTCCAATTTGCAATTTAAATATTTATATATTTATACAGCGCTGCTGTGGCTCTTCTTCTTCTTCATCTTCACTTCCTCTTTTACCGCTGTGGGTGTCGAGGGAGATATAAGGTTCTGTTTCTAGCTCTTCTGGCCGCCTCGACCATAGGCACATCGTGCTGTTGTAGAGTTTCTCTGATGTTATCCTTCCATCTTGTTCTTGGTCTACGTCCTTCTCTTTCCATGTATGCTTTGTATGGTATGGTGTCACAAGGCATTCTCTCTAAGTGGGCAAACCATTTCACTTGCTGTCTGTGGCTCAGTCAGGTTAAATGGAAAAGAAAGAAAAAAGATAGTGCACATTTCTAAAATGTTTAATTTTACAATGCTGTGGTATACAATATTTGTTGTTCTAATGACACCTATAGTAGGTACATAAAAACATGAACATATTCGAATGCAATGTTGTGTCAAAATTTCAAAGCAGTTAAGGAAGAACTTTAGGAGATTAAACATTTTAAACATTTGAACATTTACATTTTTATTTATATAGATAAGTTTTTCAGAATGACTACTAAGAAGTGAAGGGTCCGTGGCAGAGCAAAAGGAACTTTGTCCCTGGAGCACAACCACAGGTTGTCTTCTTCTTAGTGTTCACTGGCTGTAAAACTCTAGCGGAAAGTTCTGGTAGTTCATCCACTTCTGAGCTTTGGTCTTGTTTTTGAACTTGAGTTTTGCATGCACGTTCATTTTACAGATCTGACTTATTTGTATGCAGACTGTTGGTTTCTTGCCTCTCAGGAAGATGTGCTTTGACTGAAGGAAACTTCACTAACTAGTCACTTAATACAATATGCTTTTTAGGAGGCCAGTGGTTCTATTCTCTCCCCTCTACCTTAAATTATTTTCAGGAATCCACACAGCGGATTTTACAATTTTAGTAGAGAGAAAAACAGAAAATATAATTTCTTACCTTTAAATCACCAATAATTTTATCTTTATCCTCCACTTGTTTAATAAAGCTCATCTAGAAAATAAAAATATAAAACATAAATAAAACAGGCTAAGCAACAGATTAAGACTCAAATATGCAAGCCAAGTGACATCATTTAATTATTTGGGAGCAACATTAGAGCAGTAGTTAGCAGACAAAACCTAATTCTATAGTGCTCTGACACTAGCTAATGTCTTACTGGTTTCATTTCCATGGCAGCACAGTTTAGCAGCAAATTGTTCTTATGATTTTTGGCGCTGGCTTGTGGGAAATTTGGGCACAACACTTAAAACTCCAAAATACTGCAGTAGGTACAAGGCAGCTAACTTTCATTGTAAAAATGGCGAACAATTTTGATTAAACAATTTTTTTGAGGAGAACTTTGTTATTGGTTTTCTAAAGGCAAAAAAAAATGCCTGATTTAATTTCTTCCCTCTATTTATTGTTATTTTAGTATCTAATATTTATAAGAGATGTTTCAAACATGATGATAAGTACAGGATTTCTTTAAGAAAAACAATAATTAACATATCAACAAGAATATCCACGTTTTTTCTTCTTCTTTTCCTTCTACTTGCAGTGATTCTCAGACGAGAAGGCCACGGCCCTCTATGAAGGTTGTGGTGTGATTCATGTCCTCCAATGATCCACACAGCTGAGTTTCCACCAGAATGCCAACATTTAATTAAGACAGTGGATCTCATTACAGCTTATAGAGAACACATCTGCAGCAAATGTTAGTATTCTGGGAAGTGCCCTTGTGTCAGATCTCACACCGTTCCCCGTGTGGGTTCTGTGGTCTCTTTGTGGGGGGGGGGGGGGGGCGAACAAGAATGGACCTATTGCCTCCTCAACAAGCATGTCGTGAGAGTGGACTAATTAGGGGCTTTCTTCAAAGTCAGAGCGCCTCTGTCTGAGAGACAAGGAACCAACAGTCTGTATACAGATCTGTAAAATAGATGTGCATGCAACACTCAGGTTCTGGAACAAGACTAAGTCCAGAGGTGGAAGAATAATCAGAACTTCCTGCTGGAGTTTACAATGAAGAAGAACAAGATTTCACAAAGTAAAGGCAAAACAGAAATATAAACAAAAGCATGGCTCAACAGAGAGGAGAGGAAAACAAACGATTCATTTACCTTGACATCCGAGAAAACTTGTTCCCTTTCGTGCTGGTGTTTCTTCAAAGCTTCCTGTTAATATAAAATCAAATCAACACTATCATTATGTTGCTTGCCATTAGGCATAGGCGGTCATGTTTTACCATCTCATATGGTCACAAGAATTATGATCACAGTTCTTGCTTCGTCCATATGGCCAAGACATCCAGGTATTTATCTCTTTGCTTTCCCCTTGATATTCTCCCATAAATTTTGCCAGCTGCCACAAAGTTTTGGGATATTTCTTCTCATAACAGGTCAGAAAAACACTGTTTATGACTAATTTCTCTAATCAGTTTACAATTGGCATCTATCTCAGAGAGGATTGCCTAGTGTGTTTTACCATCAGTTAATTTTTACCATCATTTAATTATGTTCCTTGCATTCTTCTCACAAAGAAGGCTGACAGAAAACATATATTCATGATGCCACTAGGCATCAAAACACAGGTGACAGCAAACCGCTTAAAAAAATGTTTAATAAATAGACAACTGCAAACTCTGGTGGAAAGTTCTGGTTGTTTGTCAACTTTTGGACTGTAGTCCTGTTCCAGAACCTGAGTGTTGCATATGCATCCGTTTTGCAGATCTGACATATCTGTTTGCAGACTGTGTTCTTTGCCTCTCAGGTAGATGCACTCTGGCTTCAAAGGAAGCACCCTATCAGTCGACTCTTACAACATGCTATTTGGTAGGCAGTGGGTCTGTTCTTGTTTTCCCTATAACATGGCCCCAGAACCCACATGGAGAAAACAATGCATTGAACGGCAGTCATCGAAAAAAGTTCTACTTGTTCAACAAGATAAAAGATTTTATTTAAAAAACATGACAGTTTGTTTATTACTTCTAATGTGTTGCTCAGTCACCAGAAATATTAGCGTTAGCAGCATGTTTGATAATGTGCCAATGGTAATTATAAAAGTGTGTACTGAGACTGAACAAACAAGTGAGTTCAAATATCTATGGCAGCAGTTCCCAATTACTAAGGTCTTTGGACCTGTCTTCTTTTTTTTTTTTTTTTTTTTTAATTGTCTGCCACAGACCTTAAACTTGTTATTGGTCATATTTATGTCGTCTTTAAAAAAAATTTAAAATGACATGGACCTCTCAAATTTCCCACTTGTGGTAAAAGGCAAATTTTCACTTCAAGGTAGGAAACTTACCCTATGGTGTGCAAGGCAAAATTAGCTACTGTGACAACTAGCACCATTTCTGACATACAGAAAGACATATGTTTACCAAGGTAAATCTAATACAATTTTTTCCGAATGCTAATATTATGCTACCAGTGTGAAACAAGGACCCTTATTACTACTAATTAATGGGCAATTTCAACAGAGAATAGACCTTTCAAAGAAATCATTCAGTGTTACAAAAATAAACAAAATTAAAAAATTTGAAAAATAACATCAGGACAGTAATTTACCACATAATGTACTAAAGCAGTGATTCCCAAACGGTGCGCCGTGGCGCCCCGGGGAGCCGCAAACTCTTCACAGGGGCACCGTGGAATATTGTAAAAGCTTTATAATTAATTAAACCAAGACACGAATAGTCATACTTTTACTTAGGTTAGGGCGCCGTGGAATATTGTAAAAGCTTTATAATTAATTCAACCAAGACACGAATAGTCATACTTTTACCTAGGTTAGGGCGTCGTGGAAAATGTTAATTGAAAAAAGGAGCCGCGACCAAGACAAGTTTGGGAAACACTGTACTAAAGAATAACCAATGAAATGTTTTTAGCATCTGATGAGAATGCCCTGGGAATACCAACTACCACAGAGAACCATGCTTGAGAAAAATAAGTGAGTCAGAGCAAGGGGAAGATCAGGCAGAATATAAAATGATAGCATTATGAAAAGCTTTAAAGAAATTAGGACCAAAATTACAAAGCAGTAGAAACGGCACACATGTAATCCTTACATCTCTTACATGACTTGGTTGGGATAAAGAGATAAAAAGAAGTGCATTTTATTCTGTTCAATAGTAAATTAGGAATAGGTTGGGGGTGGCTGTTGTGTGGGCGACAAGAGACAGAAGTATACACAAGATAAACAACAGTAGAAAAATTTAAGAAAATAAAAGAAAAAAGTAAACAAACAAACAGAGAAACAGGCAGAAATAAAGAAGATGTAAAGATGCTCAACTTACTATTTCCAAAAGTAATGTTTCATTCTCCAGTTCCAGTTTCATGACCTTGGATCTGAGCCCGGCAATGTTGCCTTCCTGGTCCTTCAATCTCTGCTGCAGACCTGCCTGGAAATGTGACAGAATGTGTGTCTATCATTTGAGACTGCAGATTTGTGTGAAATGTGATATTTCTGTAAGGAATGAGAGGCTTGTGTGAAATTAATGTGATATTTATGTGAAGAATGTGGGTTTGTGTGAAACTGTGGGAGAATGTTGTGAGACTGGTATGAAATTAGTGTGCAGCTGGTGTCAGATTATTGTTAAATTAATGTGAGTTTACTATTAAATTAGTCTGAGATTATTGTTGAATTAGCATAAGATTGCTGTTAAACTAGCATGAGATTACAGTTAAATTAGTGTGAAAGATTACTGTTAAATTAGTGTGAAATTACTGTTAAATTAGCATGAGATTACTGTTAAATTAGCATGAGATTACAGTTAAATTAGCATGAGATTATTGTTAAATTTAGTTCTCTAAAAACAAAAAAAAATCAGTTTTCTTACTGATGGTGTAGACTTGCAAAGAAAGTGTATTAACCCACTGACTACCAACATCGCACGTAATGCGACGAGGCGACGTTTACTTCCATCTGCCAACGTCACACCCTTTGCGATTTTAGCTTTGGACGCTCGCAGTCATGTTAAAATCGCAATTTTTATGATGGATTTAGTTGAAACCTCTAGCTTATTCATATCTGTATGGATAATTAAGGGAAATAACTCCGTAGTGCTTGAAGTAAATATTTTACGAATTTTTTTAGTTAGCTTCCATGACGGTGAGACATTGACGAAAAATTCATCATGGCGTCAAATTATCGGAACCATCGTGGTGGCCATATCTCTCCTAATTTTTCTAATGATGCATTCGATTTTCTTGATTTTGCTTCAAAAAGTGCATTTGAAGACACTTCTGAACAGTTTGATGGCTATGACTATAATAAATTTAACGAAGTGCCATTCAAAACATCGTCGACTGTAAAACGACAGTATGACTCTTCGAAGTCAAGTCTGACAAAGACAGTCACAGTGTTGTCGGCTGCAAGTACTGGTGCCGCAGGTTAGGATGCTGATAGTTCTTGTAAGAGTATTCAGTCAAAGCCCACAGATTATAAAGATTTTGTGCTTGAGTCTGCACATGACGAAAATATCATTGCCGCTTTTGATTCAGAATCATCATCATCTAACGAGTCCGGAGAAGATGTGCCACGCCCCCAAATGGTTGATGACTGGCATTGTGATTTAGAAGGCTTTCCTGGAGTACCCCCATTTACTGGCACTTCTGTTTAATTTCTGCCAGAAGGAACAAATGAACCACTGGATATTTTCTTCAGTAAAGACATACTTGCTGTGTTTGCTAAAGAAACAAACCGTTATGCTGAGACAAAGATTAGTGCTGGAACTGGAAACACACAACCCCTAATGAAGTGACAGGGTTTCTTGTACTGTTGTGTCACATGTGTTGTGAAAAAGCTATTTCAGACTACCAGAGTTTATATCCATCTCTCCACTCATCATTTGCTGCCACCATCATGTCACGGGGGCGTTTTCTATAGATTGCTGTCAGATAACATATTTTTCTGTTGCCTTTTTAGCACCATATCTACAGCCACATGATGATGATATAAAAAAGTAAATCTACATTTGTCTTGATATTTGTTATCTATTTAATTTTGTGCAAACAATATCAGATAGGATAAGTGACATTGAACAGTTGTGAAGCTGTGACATTTTTTGGGAGTCTGAATTATTGTCAGACAAAGGATTTTTCAGTTGCCTTTTTTGCACCATATCTACAGCCACATGATGATGATATAAAACAGTAAATCTACATTTGTCTTGATATTTGTTATCTATTTAATTTTGTGCAAACAATATTAGATAGGATAAGTAATATTGAACAGTTGTGAAGCTGTGACATTTTTTGGGAGTCTGAATTATTGTCAGACAAAGGATTTTTCAGTCGCCTTTTTTGCAACAATCTGCAGCCACATGATGATGATGATTATGTCAGACAAAGTAAACCCCATTTTTTGTCTTCACATTGTTCTCGGTTCAATTTTGTGCAAAAATACAAAATATTATATATGTTTGTTGAAAATTTGTGAAAAAAAATCATCACTATCAGTCTTTATTGTTGTCAGATAAATGATTTTCAGTTGCCTTTTTTGCAACAATCTACAGCCACATGATGATGATGACTATGTCAGAGTAAACCTTATTGGTTTTTTTCTTTAAATGTGTTCTTGGTTTAATTTTGTGCAAAAATACAAATTATTATACATTTTTGTTAAATATTTTTTGAAAATAAGACATTTTTGTTTGTCTTTATTGTTGTCAGATAAAAGATTTTCCGGTTGCCTTTTTTGCACCAATCTACAGCCACATGATGATGATGCAAAACAAAATAAACAACTTTTTTTTCTTGAAATCTGTTCTTCATTCAGTTTGGTGCAAAAATACAAAATATTGTGAGATTATATCAAATAGTTGTGAAGCTATGGCATTTTTAGTAAACACTAAAATACGTGGTATCTGGGGAAATGCAAGGGTTAATGAGCTTGGTGTGGGTTAAGCAAAGTTCAAATGTAACAAAATACTGACCTTTGTTCCTTGTAATTCCAGACAATCTTTCTTGACTTTGTTAAGGTCGGATCTCAATGATTCTGCTACTGTTTCAGCATGCAGCAGTCTCCCCTTCAAGAGGCACTGTAGGAAAACATGAAAGGTAGACCCACATAAACAATCATCATCATGTAGAAAGTTGCTGGCAGCATGTATACTGTTCCAGTAACCATGTTCCCTCTTTCTTTCAGGAAACATGGCTCTTATTGCCGTTCTTTTTAAGTCACCATCATCATGTAGCAGGTCCTTTACAGAATGTTGCTCTCATCATGGTCTGCCTGAAAGAAACTCAGTCTTTCACCAGCTCTCCCGCCTCACAAACTTTCATATTTAAGGAGTCACCTATATCCTGTGCTTATCTTTGTGCCTTTATGTTGCTTCCTGGTACTCTGCTATTATTTTCTCCAATCTGCCATGGCGCTTGACATGACCAAAATACTTGAGCTTCGGAGACCAGATGCTGTTAATCAGTCAATCTTTCCTGATGTTTAGATTTTTTTAAAATGTCTGTCTTTTCTTTGCCCACGATAATCTTTCTTTAGCATTTCAGCTATGGCATTTAATAAAGTTGAAGTCTTTCAGTTGGAAACATTCTGCTTTTTACAAGCCAGCTGTCTTTGATGTTCTTTTCTTCTGGTAGTTTCTGGAACATGATGCTGCTTCTGATCCAAGAAATTAATCCACTAAACAAGAACTAAGAAGCATAACGAAGGGGAAGAACATAATTTTCTTGTGTGTGTACGTTGTTCCGCTTCGTTCAGTTTTTTTAGTCAAGGTTTAGTAGATTAATTTCTGGTTATCAGCTTGACTGCAGTCATCGCTGTGTTCATCACTTCTGATACAGTATTTGCATGTACAAAATATTTTAAGATTGGTGAATCAGTCATGTGCACATGTTGACTGGCACCTGAGGCAACAGATCACGTCCTCCAACCAAGACTGTCCCAAATACATCATTCCAGGCAAAACTTCTGAGACTAAGAAAGACTGGTGGAAGCCAAACTTTATGGGCCGCTAAGTGAATTATGAAAGACAGTGAAGTTTATACTAGTGACAGCATTGCAGATACAAATAGTTTATTTCAAGTGAATAGAAGAATAAGAAGTATTCTCTAATGTTAAAATCTTGTAAAATATATCAAACCTAACCTATCTAAAGTATAATAATCCCAGTGTGGGTTTCAAAGCCCCATTCTGGGGGAAATAGGGGTTGCTGACATCAGATGTGTTGGGCTAAAAGGTGGTACTTTTCTTTTAGTTCACCTATCTCAGTGACACTGAGATTTCTTGAGGAGTTCCCAGGAAAAGTCCAATATTTTACGAGAAGTGGGAGGAGGGTTAGTTGTTTATTTCACACAAACAAAAGCAGTCATTGTGACAGTCACAAAGAACTTACCACTGTCTCCTTGATGTTGGCACCTTCCATAAAGTCTCCTGACAGATCCCTTGTGTCACCTGTAGCCTCTCCATTTAACAGCTGAAACAGAAACATAGCAACGGTTGCTGACACAGTAACCACTGGAACAATTAAACGTAATGTTTAAACTAAACATGTGACCCAACACACAATTCTTCTTCTACTTCTTCTTCTTAGCTTCCCCCAGCTGTAAACTCTGGTAGAAAGTTCTGGTTGTTCATCCATTTCTGCTCCTAACTTCTCGGCAGCCCTTTTCTATTTTGGCCCTATTTGCGTAATTTCCGTCCTCCTTAGGTTTAGACGATGGATCAACATCATGGCACAAGGAGTAGCCTGTAAGTGCTCCGTTCTACTTCTGACTCAAGCCCGAGTCCGAAGAATCTCAGCGCACTGCACAAACTCTGTAGCACCGGCAAGGATCCTGAAATACCATGGGTTGTTTTTTTACTCAAACTTTTGCCAAGGCAGCGCCAATGGGCTGGTCTTTTCGATTTCAACTGCCAAGGGATTTTTTAACGTGAGCAACTATACATACGGGCACCCCCTCTATGCAGCGTGATGTACTGCATGCAGTTCACATGAGTGTAAGGTTTCAGAATATCCACAAGGTGGGAATTATTTTCAAATTTTACCTGGTCCCCCAGGCTGACTCAGCTTAAAATGATTATGATACATAATTTCATACAAGTGGCTGGTGCGATCCTGACCATATAATCAGTTAGTCTATATCATGGCTATTCAATTAACTTCACAGGAGGGGGGGGGGGGGGGGGGGGAGAGGGCCAATGGGGGCTGTCACAGGCCAAAGCCCCATCACAGAAAGTCAATACAACTGACAATGATCTTCCGACCACTTGCTAGGAGCAATGTGTGCATCTAGTGCTTCATGGCAAAGTTGTTAAGCCATACGCACATCACCATCCCACTCTGAAGGCAAGGTCATAGGGTCAGTTTTGGGGGTATATGGGTTGTGGCTTAAATGCGATTCACAATTTCACATCCCTGGATGTACTAGGGTTAGATCTCCATGGTGGTTTTTTTTATTTTTTTTTTTATAAATGCATTTCCTGTGGCTTTAGGACAGTTGTACAGAAGTTGTGCTCACTGTGTAATGCATGCACTGCAACCTTTTCATGCCACTGTCAGCAGAGCTAGTGGGTACCAGACTTAAATACTTTAGACTCAAGAGAATTTGATGGGTGATGTGGTCACATAACGCTAGCCATCTTTTTTCCCAGGATTTTATTTCCCAAGAAATGGGAAGGGTGGACGACTTTGGGGGCAGTGAATCCACATCACTTACCATAATTCACCATGTGGATATTGGGACCTCACTGTGAGGGAAAAACAAGAACAGACCCACTGCCTCCCAAACAAGCATGTCGTAAGAGTCGACTAATTGGGGCTTTCTTTAAAGTCGGGGTACCAGGACTTGGTAATCAACATAGAACTGGTACCATTAGTCACCGGATGCTGGCGTTCATACTTAGGGGAGGATCTGAACACCCAAGGACATGTCCGGAGTGCAACGATGATAACCCAACTAACTAAAATTCCCAGGAATTGACACATTTTAGGCAAATGACAGGGTAACAAATAGTAGAAAAAAATACAGAAGTTGTTCATAAAGCTTGGAAACCATGCAACAAACTCATAAACATAAATGATAGAATTATTTTAATTTTATAGTTTTATCCATGTTCTTGTGGAAGTAAAGGGAAACCACCACATTTTTTTTCCAAGGATACGTTTGTGGGCAGTCACAAAGCTAAATCCATGACCAAGAAACAATATGCTAGTCTACAAACAGATTAACCGAACAAGACAAAGTCTAGAAAGATTTTCACTGAACTGACAACACAACAGAAGCATACAGCTCTACCACACTCACCAGATCATGGAGCTGAAATAACATTTGGTGAGTTTCCTTCAATGTATCACAAATCTCAAAATAACCAGAATCTCCCATGGCATTATCACTTTCACAAGAAGTCACCATCAAACCTGCGGAACGGTTGAAAGGTTATATTCAACAATAACTGTTAAGGTAATCAGTGTCTGACTTAGGGGTTATGAATGTGGTAGCAGACTTTATTGCATTAGCTTTGAAAACGGTATAAGGGCGCTGACTGTTTAAACCGCAATGGCAAACTATTGAACATAAAATTGCTGAGTTCAAAAACAGCCTAATAATTATGGTGTTGGTATGCAACATCCTGTGAAGGATAGGTAGCAAAAAAAATTTTTTTAATCTTCTTTACCTTTTAACATGAATCAGAGAGCTAGGTCATTTACTTTCCATCTTCCCCTGTAGTGTTTTTCATTTACCTTCCGGTTCTTACTCCAGTGTATTTCATTTAATTTCCATCTTTCCATTTTGTATATTTCTTCTTGGTATAGTGTCTTTTTTCACATGTCCAAAATACTTTTTTTTTCCTAAAACCCCTGGCTAACTTAATTATCAATTTTTTCCTGGTTTGTTTAGCATTTCTGTGTCATTTTATATCTCTATGATGTGTGATTCCCCCCCCCCCCTCCCCCCAATAAATAAAAAAATATTTGCATTTCAAGTATGTATATTCCTTTCTCCCAGCCTACATTCCACAACAGTTATATATATAAATATATATAGATCATTAGAATTGAAAGCTATAGTGACCATAAAGGGATTTGAGTGCCAAAGAAGTTGAATGAAGTAAATGGAAATTATAGGATACACTAGATAAGATAAGATAGCTGAAATCTAAAGGGATTTGAATCTGTAGCCTCCAACTGTCTGTAAGAAGGTAAACAAATAACCAACTAAACACCCCAAAAAGTGTTTTCATTATCCAGGTCTATTGTGTACTAAATCTTACAACTATGGAACACTGACAGAACATATCTTGTAACTGAAATAGCACCACAGATTTCCACTCCCTTAGGGTAAATGGAGTCAAACAAATTTTGCATAGCTTATTAGCATGTGTCGTCAGCTCAGGCTAAGTCGATGCGAACGCTTCGTAATGCCGGGTTCTATCCCAGCTGCGGGTCATGCGCCTTGCATTGGTTTTGACAGTGGTATCAAGAAAGTCGACCGGTCAGAAAGCAATGGCAAACTACTGGACGAAAATTTGCCTAGAAAAACCACACAACAGCCAGGGGTTGTTGGGGTTGGTTCTGCAACGTCCTGTAAAGGATACGCAACAATCTTTATTAGCATGTAATAGATGACATGGTCACAATTACACTGCCTTTTTCTTAAAGTAAACGCCAGTGCAAAGTTCTGTTTGTCATTTATATCTGGACTTTAGACTTGTTCCAGAACTTGAGTTTTGTGTGTACATCCGTTCTACAGATCTGGCTTATCTGTATGCAGATTGCTGGTTCCGCACCGCTCAGGCAGATGCACTCCAACTTTGAAGGAAACTACCCCAATCTGTCACCTTGTGTGACATGCTTGTTTAGGAGCCAGTGAGTCTATTCTATTTTTTCCCCTGGAAGGGGGTCCGGAACCCAGACAGAAAACTGGCTCCCTTCAATTTATATGGTAAATCCTGGCACTGATTTTAGACTAGGTTGATATGGAAAATTGAATTTTTTTTTAAACTTTTGCCTCAAGAGCATTCAAATATCTGACCACTTGCCAGCAAACTAACCAGTCGGCTATTTTAGCTTCTCAATGTCAAACATGATACATCATAAATAGCCAGATTTATATACTATAATCGGCTATTTCTGGGACAAACAGCTCAAACTGATAACCCAAAAACCAATGTATTTCTCAGGTGAAATGAAGATTTAAAAAACTTGATACCTTTACGGATTGTGCCACCTGCTGAAAGCAATCCTTCCATGGAAGATGGTGGATCACTGAGATAGAGACTGGTACGAGGGCTTGTATTATGACTTGATGATGGGCTGTTGTTACCACTGGCTCCTTCCAACTCAGCACGGCCCTCTAAATCCACTCGCATGTCTGCAGTGGCACCACCCCCTTCGCCTGGTACTCTTCGATCAGAGTAGCATGTGGACTCTTCTCTGTGCCTGGTGACAAACAAGGAGGATCAATCAAGTTACACCAAATGAAAATAAATCTGGGTTCATCGGGGTAAAGATTCAACAACAGCCTATTTCAATATTCGTCTTGCCTTTACTTCAAGTGGCACCCAGACACACCCCCCCCCCTTTCCCCAACTGCATCATTCTCTCTAGGTATAGGTTTCAGTAACTTCCATTTTAATTTGTTATTTCATCCCGAAGGCAAGAGATCACCTATGCCTTGTGCAGCTGCAGTACACCATCATGAGGGTTGAGCCAGCTAGCCTATCTGCCTGCTCATGCCCAAAGACACCTGCACAGCCTAGACAAAATATCCACTTGACTCTCACCAAATCAATCAGCTGTGTCACTACACTTGACTCTCACCAAATCAATCAGCTGTGTCACTACACTGATCGGCATCATGAGTCATGCCAATATGCCTTTGTTGTCATGGTTTGCCACATAATTTTCTTCTTCATTTGCATTTTCACTTAAAAGAGCAATTGGTGTTGGAGTTGTGGTTTACAGCTAGCTTCAATATCTACATCTTTTGACATATCCGATTCTAGCCGATGCCAAAGTAGTCACTTTTATGGCATGCGTATTAGAGGGCAGTTGATCTATTCTCATGACTCACAAAGAGAACTGATTACATACATCAGAAAGAGAAAAACATCTTCATTCTTTGGTCATGTCATGAGAAAAGTGAAGCACGTATGACAATGGAAAGTTGGAGGGGAAGAGGGAGAGGGACAGAGAGAGAGAATGCTGGACAGTTTGAGATAATGGCATGGAAGATCATCAGTGCGATAACTGACTAAAACCACATGAGATAGGTCATGGATGAGACAGAATGTTGTGGATAGACGTGACTACTAACGCCACATGACATGGACTATAAGAAGAAAAAGGGGCTTCTTAATAGACACTCCCCTCTCCCAAAGCAGACACAATTTGGCCCTGAAACTCACACATAGTTAATCGCTTTAGGAATGCAACAATTTATTTAAAGCGCCAATTTATGTTTCTGTCCATGCATGAAATTCTTAGTATTTTCCTTACAAGCCACTTTACTGCTGCCCTCCAATGTCTTTAAGTTTTTTTACTGTCAATATTCACATGCACACAATAGAATATACTAAACAGCACTCAATAAGCTGTTTTTCATGCTGTTAAAGATTAATTTTACCATAGAAAGTCACTACGCTACAAATTAAATCCATACAGTTACAAGAATGAACACATACCGTCTTCTTTTGTGTCTAAAGCCTGCCCGCGATGCATTTCTTCTGGCTTCAGTAAGAGCTGCCGCCGCACCCTTAATAATAAAAAAAAAATACAAGTCATAAAAATAGAAAGGCAAATATGCATCTATACTTAGAGGTAAAGGAAATGGGAACTCTTTAGTAGGTACTACAATAAGGAGTTCAGTTTTTGCTTTTGACAGGACTTTGCTAATGCAGATTTCACATATGGATGGAAGTCTATGGTTTCGCTGCCTAAGCTACTGAGTTAAGTGCTTGGTGCAGCACTGTAAGCTCTGCTTTTTTTAATGTGGAATGCCTTTCATTTGTGCAGCAGTTGTGCCATGGTATCCAGGATGGCGGGTTGACAGTTTACGTGTGGGCTAGGTTAACCTTATTTAATAATTTTGTGCGTGTATGGCCACCTTATTGTGACTGACTACTTCTGTCAATGACAAATGCATTTCTGATGGCTATGGCACCTATAGCAACCAATGTATGCATTTGCTGCGTGCACACATTTCTGGATTGTGCCAGGATTATTCTTCTTTTTTTTTTGTTCACCAGTTTTTCAAATGGGACAGTGATTGACATTTTATGTGATTTTCAGTGGCACAGGAAGGGAGGAGAACGTATAGGCTAACCTGCCTGCGGTGAAACTGAAACCTCCACTACTACTTTTAATTCTTTATGACCATGGTTTTTAGATGAGTAGACCACAGGCCTCTATGAAGGTTGTAGTGTGATGCTTGCCGCCAATGATTCATACAGCTTGGTTTCTAAGATAATGTTAACTGGCCAGATGTGGGATCTCCCTTCTGCATGTAGACAGCTTGTCTGCAGCACATCTTCGGTACTCCAGGATGCCAGATACTACTGTACATTTGACCATGTGATAGTGACTGCCATAAAGGATAACTTCATAACTAGAGTTCAGGTCATATGAGTTGTAGTCTTAAAGATATGAGAGTGCTTGGCCTTCCTCAACCCCATCAAGGAGTGCATTGGAGAGCACATTGGAGGAGGATACAAGTTTAGGAAATGAAATGCAACCTGAAAAAAAAATATGGCAGGGAAGAACAGACCTTCAGCCAGTCTAGGAAGAAAGCTCTGACAGGCGGACAGTGCATTTTCTTTTGATCCAGCAGCTTCTGCAGCATATTCTGTTGCAACTGCATTCACACTTACAAAGCAGCATGAGAGATGGATCAACCTGCACAGCAACACATGGTTTCTACAACAGTGCCCAAGCTTTGTGCCATGGACAGGAGGAAATAACATCTCTGGCTTTAAGTGGTATCGCCACAGGTTGTGATTGCTGTGCTTCCACCTAGTATCAGGGAATATTATTTTCTGGAAAGATGGAAATCTGTCAGGCAACCTAGACCTAATCCCAACCAGTCTGTGTGTGCTCCACTCAACCATTGATGGGCAACATCCTAATATGCTAAGTTCCAAAAGTAGTTATGGATGCCACTGATTTCTTAAGCTTAGAGGGAAAAAAGAAAGCTGTGTAACCCTGTCTGTGAGAGGACACTTTGCAACAGACATGGGAAATCAGTTTCTAGACCAAGACCAACCTCACTCTATTCAGCTCTTTTCTGGGATGTAATAATGATATGAATGTAAATGCAGACCTTAGGTCAAACACACGTCTTTCAGCAGACTGTACAGACCTTTGGCAATCAATTATCTAATGACATCAAAAAATGAATGTATAAATTATCACTTGAGTAAAATTAGGAGAGGCAAACAGGAGTCTTATGGCGAATGTTTGAGTCTATCAAGGGTGCACACCGCGGAAAATGAAAAGTAAGAAATAATTAAATTTAAAGCCACTAATTACTGGTGTTATGAGGGCTAACAGACAACAATGGTTGGTGCATAAAGATACAGTTAACAGCCATGACAGAAATTAAGACAAAAATGGTGTGCAAATAAATGTTGCCCTGAGGTAGAACAAGAAGACAGTGTAGAGATAATCTAACAGTAGATCTGCAAACTTTTGCAGTCACCAAATGCAAAGGGAAAGCCAGTCAGAGATTAATAGAGGCAGGTGATGTATGCAGCTCAAGGGCTTGGAATGCTGAAGAAGAAAAGGCAAAAGAATAAGAAGAGGAAGTGGAAGAAGAAGAATTAACACTTACTTGAGCAATGCCAGTAATATTTTGCCTATTGCACTGTGAAGAATGTCTAACACTGTTGGGTTTATAATGTGCAGCCAGGGCTAAGATAAGCCTCATTGTGGCCTTGAGATTGCCTTCAACAATGTCTGTGGAGCCAGGAGAAAATATTAGCTTGTAGAATAGACTAACTGCATTAACATTTAGTGTTTACAAAATTTGAAATAAAATGAAGGACTCATTTCTAAGCACATTGAGCATACAATAGTAAACTATTAGAGAATCATCACTTGGTGGGTAATGTGGTCAGCATCATATTGGCCACATTTACTTCCCAGGATATTACCTAGTACCCATTTTAGACTAGGTCATCCTGGGAACAAAAGCCAATTCTAAAGGGAACAAATCTGCCTCAATGCTGCAAGACCCTTGAGTTGGCAGACAAGCATCTAGCCACTAAGCTATTATGGCATCCAAAGGGGTTTTTGTCATCACATTCTTCTTCTTCTGTACTGTATACCCCAATGGAACATTGGCTTTCAATTAACTAAAACCATGTCATATTATTCTTTGCTACTGCATGCATGTGCGCCCTATCTTTTTAACTTCACTTGCTAGTTTTTTCTAGTTTTTATTTTTTGGAGAGGTGGGGGACATAAAAAATAAAGGGACAGTATATAGGTTTTTTTTTTTAACAGTTTTCAAGTTGTTCTTATCTTTCGTTGTTTTGTTTTTTGTGTTTTTTTTTTTTTTCTTCTAAACAACAATTTTAATTTACTTATTGAATTCCCCTTGTAATATGTATTTCAGGTGCAATAAGAAAGTCTATAGTCCCAGTCTCATTACTTCTTTGGAAATCAACTATGTGTCTGTTTGTATTGTATTAGACATGCACAGATAGTGAATTTCATATGATATTGTTACAGTCATGATTTCCCGGTTACCTCTGATGGTGATGTGGTGCATCTTGATTTTCTGCAGAAACATGAAGTGCAGAATTTTATCCACATTTTCTCTCATCTCTTCATGACTGCTGGGGGCCACATGAACACCTGGTATTGTCTCTCCAGCTAGAAACATTCAAAGAAATGTATTAACAATAATTATTATTGATGGAAAAAAAAAGGTTAATAAATGGCATCCTTGTGTGGATTCTAGGGCCCGTTTTAGGGGAACAAGAAATAAACCCACTACTGTTAGCAAGCATGTTGTAAAAAGTAATCAATTAAGGTTTGCTGAAATCAGCCTTGCTGTAGACCAAAACATAACCTGCTATTTTAGGATGAATGCAAAAAAATATATAAATTCCAATAAATTAGATAGCATTAAAAGAATTCTTCTTCTTCTTCTTAGTGTTGAGCAGCTACGAACTCTGACGGCAAGTTCTGTTGTTCGTCCCCTTCTGGACTTTACTCTTGTTCCAGAATTTGAGTTTTTGCATGCACATCTATTTTATAGGTCTGGCATATTCGTATGCAGACTGTTGGCTTCTTGTCTCTCAGGCAGAACGACTCTGACTTTAATGGAAATACCCGAATTAGTGGTCACCTTTTTACTACATGCTGGTTACAGGGGCAGTAAGTCTATTCTTATCACACCCCTTCCCCCCCCCCCCCCAGGGGCCATGGAACCTATACAGTGGAGGAAAAAAATACTTCTGACCAAAAAGTTTTTTTTTTTTTAATATTACAGGCTGTGTTAAAAACAGATACTGTTTATAGCTTGTTGATTTCCATTGTTTTATATTATTGGACTTCTAGTAATTCCCCCTGGTCTCTGGGTAGTGAGATCAAACACCCGTGTGCATTGCTGTTGACGTAAAGAAAATCCCTTGGCAGCTGGAAATCGAAAAGAATAGCCTAATGGCGCTGCCTGGGCCAAATTTGGAGTTATAAGTCTACCCAAAAGTATTTCAGGATTCTCGCCAGTGCTATAGAGCCTGTGCACTGTGCTGAACTTCTTCGGACTTAGACTTGAGTTAGAAGAAGAAAGGAGCATAAATGGGTTACTACCCGTGTGCCATGATGTTAATCCGTTGTTCAAACCTCAAATGTGCATACTGATATTAATACTGTATTTTTCACTGTTAATTTTTTTCATAGACTGAACTAACCTGCTAACAAATATCCTGTTGAGCTGCTTAACTGTTTGTTTACACTCTGAAACCATGTCTATTAGATATTCCTGGTGCATTCTGTGCTTCTTTTTCACTTTTTTTAACTGTGCATTGAAATGCAGAGGTGACAAAAGATAGCCCTTGTGTACATCTAGGCTTTATTCCTCATCATAATGTGACAGGTTCTTTGCACAGCACCAATTTCCTCATGCCACTTACCCCCTGCTATCTTCCCAGTCCCATGCTTGAGGTATCCCTGATATCCTGCACCCACCTTCATGCTGCTCGATGCTTCTTCTTCCAGTAACTATTATTTTCTTTCCAAAATATTACAGTAAAAATGTTGGTAACGTGTCTTAAGTATTTAAAATGTCTCAAGTATTTAATACAGTTAAAGTTTATCAGTTTACAAGAGTCAGTGCTGATGAGTCACCCCTCCTCCTACCCATCAGTTTCTACATCATAAGAACTGTCAGCACTTTCCCTTTTACTGGCCTATGATATGCCGTAGCATTCAGCTCAAAAGCCCTGATTGTATTCTTCCCCACAATGGTTTCACAGCCCCTGACTGTTTTCTTTTTCCCATATGATACCAGGGCCCCATTTGGGGAAAGGGGTGGGGGGATAGACCCGCTGACCCCTAAAAAGCATGTTGTAAAAGGCGACTAATTGGGGCTGGGGTCCATCAAAGTCGGAGTGCATCTGCCTGAGAGGTGAGTAACTAACTGCCTGCATGCAAAGAAGCCCGAGCTATAAAGCGGATGTACACGCAAAACTCAAAATTCTCGCACAAGACCAAAGTCAAGAAGTGGACTTACAACCAGAACTTTCCACCGGAGTTAAAAGCCAGTGGCTATAAAAAAAGAAAAAAGATTTGCTTCTTTATTAATATTCCTAACCATCCATGAAAGGCAGAGCTTACATAAGGTTATCTTCATTGCTACAACGTCCATTCCATCTAATCAATCATTCTTTGCTCCTCTCTAGCTTATCTCATCATCATCATCCTCTTCAGTAATTTATTCATCGCATAGGGCTCGCAGTCTTGTCTGTTCCATTCTATCCTGTAAAATGTTTACTTAATCTCAGTTTGTACTAATTATGCAGGCCTTTCTCTCCAGAATATGGACAGTAATACATTGTGTTTTCTCAACAATCATCAATCTGTAATAAACAACAGTAACAAAAAAAGCAACTTACCAATAACCTCAATGAGGTTTATCAAAGCAACTCCATCCCTCACATCATGTCGGAGATCTTCCACTAAATGTGCCCCAGGCTTTTTCTTCAACTGTGAGTTCATCCATGCCACATATGCAGTGAGTTGTTTCTGAAACAGTACCAATAGAAGTCTGTTTAGTATTTCTCTAATTCACCAGTATCGGGCTTTCTCAGTAAACCAAATCCATCTCTCTTCTCAGCTTATAGTAATTTGTGTGTGTGCGCGAGTGTGTGTTTTATATAAGCAAAACGGAATATGCAAAAGAGTTTAATAGGAAATGAACAGGCGGCAGACCAAGAAAACAGGAGAGACAAAGCAGACTTAGAAACACTTGTAGTCACCAACTAGAAATTCAATCACAAAGATGAGTGCAAAATACAAAAGCGATTGTGTGTGTGTGTGTGTGGGGGGGGTTGATATCTATAACAATGGACTTCAAGGGCTCAGAATGCTGAATAAGTAGAAGATAAATGTTCCTTCCTGTGGGTTACATTTGAAACAGTGTCTATCGTTTGTGTTTTAACTTTATACTTTTGCTTCTATGCGTATCATATAGGTTTTCAATTTTAAAAAAAGAAATCCCACTCAAAATATAAAATTTATAATATATGTTAATGGTCAGAGAGGACAGGTGACCCTTGTACTAAAAACTATGCTCAGGTAAGATAATACTGGTAGAAAGTCGCCATTAATTCCACTGCACTGTTGTAAAAGAAATACATTGTAAAGTTCTTTTAGGGATGAAAATAAACAACCAAGCAAGATAATGATGAGAACAAAATTCTTCTAAACCAGTGTTCTACCTGTATTCCCCCCCCCCCCTTTTCACATCCAAAAACAATGGGGTGAGGGGAGGGAAGAAGAGTTTTAAGGTGGACATTTAGTAATTTATTTTAATCTAGTGTTTACGTACTTGTAATAATCTGCTACACACATTTTTTTTTTCAAGTCAATTTGTAAATATTTGTAACACTTATTTATAAAACAGAACAAAAACTCCCAAAAAAAATCACATTTTTGTTTTTATGTGTAGTTTGTACAACTACCTCCTATTTTAGGTCACTTTTTTTTAATACTTAAGAGGGGGTGCCACTTGAAATAGGTTGAAAACCACTGTTCTAGACAGATGTGAGACTTAACTGCACCAGATTTTATACTGTCTTGCTCATTCTAACTCTGCAGAGGAGCTAGCCACCTGCCAAAAAGCATTGTACAAAGCACAAGCTCCATAGGTCCAACAATGACAAATCTTGGAGAGATTAACCAAATGCAGATTCAATGACCTGACCCCTTCTAAACATTAAAAATATCACAGCTGACCACCTACCTTCCACTCAATAAGCATCTGTGAGTCCTCTTGTGGCCATGATGGTGACCTTGAGTCGTAGTGGCTCCTTGCAGTACTGGCCCCATTGGCAGGAAACATGGTTTTCTATACGGATAATTCCTTTAGGCTTATGCTAGTCAGAGTTTCGTACCTGTCATGCTGAGAAGGTTTCTAGCCTTTCTGTGCTGTTCCTAGAGAAAGTCAATGAAAGCCAATTTTTTTTAATAAAATGAGATAGCAAATTAGAAGAAAAAAAAAATACACACACACACATGAGGCTTATTTCTGGATGGTTGATTGGTTAAGAATCCTCTGGATGACTCAAGTTTTTACTCCAAAGTCCAACAAATTCATTTCCATACCTAAAGGAGACTGCATTTACTGGTGAAAGGCTCACATGAGGACCTTTCCCACAACCTTCTTCTGTGTTCTCTCTCTAAACGGTAGATGGCATGTTTTGTGGCTTACAGGTAGGCTGTGATATCTGCACTTTTCAACCAAAAACATTTGATTTTGGCAAACCCCTAACCAGATGCCTTTAAGGAAACACACTTGCTGGGAGCCAACGCCATCTCTAATTGTGCCTAACAACTAAATGACGACACTTTTTGAAAGGAGTCCCTCCGAAACTGGTTACTGGAAGCCCTTTCCATGTGTTGCATCGTGTGACATTTTAATGTGCTTACGAAGTTTTGTGTTCTGAATGTATTCGTATTACAAATCGATATTGCTTTCATACTGACTGTGCATAAATAGTGCAACTACGCTGTGGATAAATAGTGTCAAGATATTTCAGAGCTCTGGGTAAGTGGATGAAAATAATATTTAATTTACTAACTAACCTCTCACAGCAAATCACTTTTTGCCTCGTTACTAATTGTTGACTAACAGTATATATGTTGTAGAAGTACGCTAATAATATTAATCCTCAACCATTTGTCTTATGCTTCGCGAACACTGGCTGTAAACTCTGGCAGAAACTTCTGGTTGTTCATCTACTTCTTATGCATATTTGCAGTTGTACGGTCTGTGTTAATTTTTGTAAATTGGCTTCTGCTTCGCAAACACTGGCTGTAAACTTCTGGTTGTTCATCTACTTTTTATGCATATTTGCAGTTGTACGGTCTGTGTTAATTTTTGTAAATTGGCTTCTGCTTTGCGAACACTAGCTGTAAACTCTAGCAGAAACTTCTGGTTGTTTATTTCATTCTGGGCTTTAGTCTTGTTCCAGACACTGTTTTGAACAACAAGATCCGGTATCTATATGGGGAATTTTTGTGTTTGATATGTGTATGTTGCACAGCATTTGCAGTTATATGATCTTTTTTAATTTGCTTTAATTACCCTTAAAATAATATGCCATTCATGATACTTATACGTGTTGTTGCATGCAGTATTCAGAAATATGTGTGATGTATTTTTAAAGTTACCAAAAAATTTGCAATGATAAGGAATTGATTTCATCCAACAAGATGAAACTGGACAAATTTGTTTGTGCTGTTTGTACCTTGAGGATAAATATGCTATAGTACAGTTAAGAAAACTGCTCTAGGTGAAAAATAATTGCACATATCAATTTCATATTGACTGTGCTTGTTTACTAATTATTAAATAACAGTATAATTATATGTTGTAGTAGTCTACTGATAGTAATAATAACCATCAATCATTTATATTTATGTTATATATGACATGTGTATGTTTCACAGCAGTATTTTTATGGGCTAAATTTGATAAAGTACAAATGTTACCCCCCCCCCCCCACCCCCCCCCCCCCCCCCGCAACAATACCCTCTCCGAATCAAAGAGTTAGCACTGATATTTTTTTTTACTTTTGCTGGAATAACTTTCAGTTTATATTGATGTTTATGTTCATGTTGACTGTTAGCAAATGCATTTTTGTTTGTCTGTAAGAGCCTTTATTGTTATATTTAAATAGCACACTTATTTACCTTAAAAATGATAGTTCTAAAAAATATTTTGAAAATTAATGAAACTATTTTCATTTGTGTATACATCTCCTAGATAAAAACTGTGGACATAGAAAGACTCCATTCTTGCACAAGAACAGGAATCCCCATTGACCTGTTTGGCCTATAAATAGAGAAGGCCGTGCTGGGGGCAAAGGGTTCCACCCCCCCCCCCCCCACGCACACACAAAGTGGGTCCCAGAACAAAGAAATTGTACTAAAGTACCATTCTATACTGCCTGTGGTGAAGGAATCTCCTTTTAACTCTTTCAGTACTCAGGTGTTATTTTAACTTATTGTGCGCTATACTTCAGCTAGTCCATATGTCGGTCTACATTTTTGAGAAAGAATCAGCGGAAGTTACAACTGGGACAAAGTGGGTTAGTGTTATAAAAAGATGGGACATAAAGGGTTAGGAAAAGTACTTATCGTAAGTAGAACCGAATAAATGCATGCTGAGAGTTGGTACTAAATGAGTTTTTGACACTACTTGGAACTACTTACTATGAAATAAAAACAATTTCACGACAAACTGTTTTTTCCGCTCCTGACCCGAATTTTATTTTTCTTCCAGTTCACCTCCTGGTTGGATCTTGATTTCACTGAACGACAACAGTTTACAACTTATTAATTACATAGAGCAGCCGAATGACTCATAGATTCCAATTACCGCGTGGTAGCGAGCGCCCTGTGTCAACTAAGCGACTGACTCCTTGAAAATTATGACACAATCTGATCTCTGGGTGACGTCCGTCCTGGTCAATGAATTCAAATTCACAACACAACCACTTGCTGCTGTTTTCACTTTTTCCGCGATTTAAACATTAAATTAATTTAAATTATTCAACCAAAAGCGCTTAGCTTTGTTTCACTGACTATGTATCTATATATTTTGGTGGTACAGTATGAACATACAGATCTCACAGTTGAGCTGACAGACAAAAGCAGAAGAGTTTTAACCAAAGACGGGTATAATAGGTCCTCAAGACGAAATGTTTTCATCACCTGGTCACCATAATTTATTTGAGGGTTGATTAAAAACACAAACAGGGAACAAAACATTGAAAACAACAACGCTAGAACCGAAACTAATTTTAACATTTTGAGTTTTGAATTTAGTGTTCATTAAATTAAAGATGAACCTGAGACAGGTTCATCTAACCGGCAGCGGATTTAAATTTTACTGTCAATTTATCTAGAAGCGGTTGACGAAATTTAAAAAAAAAAGCTGCTGCTAACAGTTTCAGACTTGTACATTAACTACATAAGGATCACACACACAAAAAACTGACCACCCGCGAAATAAGATATGTGAGAAAGGTCGTGAACAAAACGAGAAGAGATCTTGCGAAAGTAAAGTAAAAGTAAAGGACCCTTTCCCACACCTTTAGGCATATAGGGCTAATAGGGATAGACCTATTTTTATAGCTCAAACGGCACAAGATGGGTGATGTGGTCACCATCACGCCAGCAGCAATTACTTCCTGGGACTGCACCCGGCACCCACTCAAGGCTGGGTCGACCTGAGAGCAAAGGTCATTTTTGAAAAAGTCCGATTCAGCCTGGAAGCGAACCCACGACCTTTCGATCCGCGGCGAGCGTCTAGCCGCTCGGCCACGGCGACTCCCCAGATCTTGTGAGGAATGAAGACATTACATAACTTCGCCTCCGCACAGTTTAAGGTCCCTCGCAATATCTGACCTGTCATACATCAATTCACCACCAAGTGGTGCAGAGCCAGACAGTACAGTCTATCCTCCTGCTCATTTCCCAAATACACCGGCATCACCTGGAGAAAATATCCACAGAGGGTACAACATGAAAGTAGAAACACCAAGACGTATGCTAAGAGGCGGCCAAGAGAAATTATGGAGTGAAGTAGTCACTTGTATACTCAGAATCCACCGACATCACAGCATACCGGGCAACCAAGCATGCCCTGGCTCGGAAACCGATCATCTATCAAGCTGCAGTGCCTAGCGACATAAAGCAGAACAGGGATAAAGGATAAAAGATACAAAAGAATGTTGAATTTTAAAAAATCTAAATCTCAGCATTCTGGACGTTCCCATAAGTGCTCTGTTTCCATCTTCAGCAACAAAGGACGAGTTATAATTTCGACGGCATCAGTAACAGTCTGATTGTATATCCGTCTCACCTCTCCCTTGAGTGTTGTGCGTCGGCCAGATCCCTTGATCACTCCTCACAGCACAATTTTTCTCAGACCTCGAGTACATATTTGAACCTTCGCAGTTATCATCATTTCTGTCTGCCACTGAACATCGCTTGTAGGAATCCACCGAGTGCTGTGATGTTCGATTCTTGACTCTTTCAGTCCGTGCGGGTTTAACATCAGAGGCTCAATGGTATTAATGAGAAAGGTATAATCTTGCGTCACTGGGCTTCTTGGTAGGAACCTATGAACGTATGATGTGTTCCATGGGACTTCAACAATGTTGGTGTTGGCTGGCTCGCTCTACTTATTTGACCTTATGCATGCCCCAATCAAGCTGTAAAGTCTGGACACGTGAACGTACATTCAGAACACGATGATAACGTTGATATCGTGTATTGTGGCACAACAATAAGTCATTCTGTCGATGTCCACAGTTCTCTCTAGTCGTTGACACGTGCTCACGACAGTCTCCCACGACAAGACGACAGTTGAAAAATGGTTGCAGTTACCTGCCAGTCAGAACGTTCTTTTTGCTCGGGTGTTGGCCTCTGAGTCATCATAATACAAATGTTCTCAAACCACTAGACGTTGTCATTCAGAATCAATTCTCCTCAGACACTCGAGATTTTCAAGCGCGGTTCCTCCACATCACAATGACGTTCACCTCAGTCGCACCATCAAACAACCTACCTCTCACACGGTCAAAACACAACTGACTGTACCTCCTCTCTCCGTTTAAACCTTTCGTTTCAATCATGTTTTTTTCCGTAACCCCTGTTCACAAAACACGGGATAATCGAGACTATGTTTTTTTCCCTTTTCGCTTGTTTCCCTTGCTCTTTGACGTTGTCTCCTCAATTGGGAACTCGCTAGGGGGTTTCCCTGGAAATTCACCTCAATACATGGACTGACAGAGTTAAATCATAACCCATAATAAATTAGAATGATATTTC